CCCCGCCGAGGGAGTCGCACGGGGCCAGGGCGAGGGCAGCTTCTCGGGAGGAGGGAGGAGGAGGAGGGAGGAGGAGGGAGGAGGAGGAGGAGGAGGAGGAGGAGGAGGAGGGGGAGGAGGAGAGGAAGAGCCACCTCATACCCCCAGACGGCTCCACACGCCTGGTGGGTCCAGTCTGGCCACTCTGGCCTCCGAACCCGGGTCACACGCCTGCCTGACACAGCGCCAGAACGCTCTGAAACAGCCGAGGCACCCGAAACAACTTCCAGATCCGCCGGATCTCAGAGAATCTCCATTTATCCTCACCCGAATTCATCCGCGTCTTTGTTGCTCCGGCGTTTGGTGGAGGCAGGAGCTGAATCCAGTCTGACGGGATCGCAATTTGGTTTTCGATCGAAGCATGGGACACAAAAGGCGATTTTTGCGCTCCGTCGGCGTATAGATTTGGAGCTTGGTTCATCATCAGGTAAAATGTATGCATTGGCCTTGGATTGGCAAAAAGCTTTCGACTCCATCAACCCCTCGGCCATGCTACGCGGTCTGCGACGTTTCGGCTTGCCCGAGCACACATTGGAGGTCATAAGTGCGGTTTACAGTGACAGAATATTCGAGGTGCAGGACTGCGGGGCGACTTCTTCTTCGAGGCCGCAGTCCTCCGGGATATCGCAAGGATGCCCTCTATCACCCTTTTTGTTCGCGATGACCATGCCTTTAATCATCGAAGACGTTGTCTCCCAACTTGCAGCAGAACACAGAGCATTGTGGGACAGTGGATCCCGTGTCCGTTTTGCTATACGCGAGCGACACGCTGATGCTGGGAAGGACGAAGCGGCCAGTGGAAGGCATACTAGCTGCTATTCCGATGTCAGGGATCTCATGTGGCATGGAGCTGCACCCGGACAAGTTCCAACTGCTTCAAATCAGTTCCGTCAGCAGTATTCAGGATTCGAATGGACACATCATACGGGCGCAAGAAGACACGATTTATTTGGGTGCTTTGATTTCTGGAACAGACGCCGCGGGCAAGGAGCTCAGTCGCAGCCTGGGCGCGGCGCGCGGCGACTTTGACAAGCTGTCCAAGATATGGCGACATTCAGGTTTGAGCAGGCGCGGAAAAATTGAGGTCTATAGCGCCGTCGTTCTTAGCAAGTTCGCGTATGGTTTAACGACTTTGTAGCTGGATGCTGCGGAGAGAAGGCGGCTGGATGGCTTCCATTGCCGGTGTTTTCGCGCAGTATGGGGAATCGAACCAGCATACATTTCCAGGGCGAGCAACGTGATAGTCTTAGACACAGTAGGACAACACCCTGTGGCGGACAGAGTGGCCCGACAGCAACTTTTCCTGCTTGGCAAAATCGGCAGGACACCAGAAGGGAACCTCCTCAGGAACGCCACCTTCTGTCCTGCAAGGTTCAGGCCGGCAGCATACCGATACGTGAGAAAGGTAGGCCGGCCACGCGCAGACTGGACAACCCAAGTGCTACGAGTCGCTTGCGCGGCGGCAGGCGGCACGTCAAAGTTTAACCCACTCTTTGCAAATGAAGTGTCGAAGCTTCTTGGCGGCAGCTCGTGCGCTCAGCAAGGCTGACCGTATAGCGCCGCGCGGTCCGAATTTGATTTTTTGGCGGCAACACTTTCCCAGTCCAGTGTCCTAAGCACCTCCTGGTGCATGATTTCTCACCACCTTGGCTGCGTCTTGCCGCGGGGGGCCGGGGTGGGCGCACGGGCTGGGTGGGGCGGCTCAGGGAGGAGCAGCCTTTGACGCAGTCGCCTGTCGCCACGAGTTTTCCCGGGACCGCCACGAGTTCCAACTCACGGATCCCCAGGGATTCCACAGCATCCCCACGACGCCCCAGACCAGAGGCCCCGAGGGGCCGAAAGTTGGTTCAACTATTGGTGCAGTGGCAAGGCGCCTCGGTTGGCCTCCTATAGGCACACCATAGGGCTTGCGAGGTCCGCAGAGGCTCTCATGAAAGTAGGACATGTCGCATCGTTGTTTGATTAGCTGGGTTGGCCGGATTGGCTCCTCCGCTTTGTCGGCATATCGAACCATAAACAATTATGTTATATTGTTATCGGTGCGTCGCGGCATGCCGGTTTTGACACTACGAGATCAGTGCGGCAAGGTTGTCGTTTGTTTCCTTTGCCTTCCACCGCTTCTTCCGATCTCCTGAGGCGAATGGGTCGGCTTTGTGTTTGTTCTCTCTCTCTCTCTGTCTCTTTTTTTATGTTTTTTTTTCTCTCTCTCTCTCTCTCTCTCTTCTCTCTCTATCTATGTATATCGGTGCATGCACCCTCGCGTGCGCGGACGACCTGGCTTCGATGCTCCGTCGTGTGTTGGAACGCGTCGCTTCTTTAGCGGACCTCTTCTTCGAATCGTCGCGCGTCTCGGGCCTGGCACTCATCATCAATAAAACAGATTTGTTTCCACGGAGAGTTCCAATGCTCTGCGTTGCGACCGCATCAGGCAGTTCTTGCGCCAGCGTGGGGTTCCCTGACGATGGACAGCAAAGTCAAGTACCTAGGCATGAGAATCGGGCCCAGATGTGCCTCGTTATCGTGGCGAGGTCCATTCGAGAAACACCTCGAACGTGCCCACATTGAGAGTGGTCTGGACATCGGTTTTTTGCTAACCATGCAGTTGTACAACGCATTCATTGCTTCGGTGTTGTGTTTCGTGGGGCAGCTAGACGCGTTCCCCCATGAGTTCGCTGGCTTGGAGAAAGAGGCGCGCGCCATACGGTTCGGAGGTCTGGGCGGCTGGGTTACGCGTAGTTGTTTGGATCACCTGATGGGCTTGAACTGCCCTGTGGAGATGGCCGATGCGACGTCACGCTGAGCGGCCTACCATGCACGTGTCTTTCGTGACGAGGATGTCGATAACAAAGTCGGCGGCGAGCGAGGGAGTGAAGTGAGAAGGATTGGGCCTTCCCAGAAGGCTCGGAAGTTCCCCGATCTTCTGAAACACATTAAACAGGCTTTCCCCAGAGACCCAGGAAACTTATCGAAAAAGGCGCGAGGTTTTCTGAGAAGTTTCGCCGCCCCTTGTTGAGACGGCCTTCGACTTCTCAGGTCCACGCCCTCGCTCGCGGCCGACAGGGGTCTGCGATTCCCTGCGCGCGCGGGGAGGCTGCGTGCAGCCACGCGTCGCCCGGCCAGACCAGGCACTCACAGCGTGCGCGCTCACAGTGCTTGGCTTGGCGAACTTTTCGAAGGAGAACTACGAGCCATAACCATAAGCTTGTGGCACTACGCGCACATGTCTTGGATCCGCACAGCGCCCTTGCCCTTTCGTTTCCTCCACCCCCTTGTTCCTTCTCCGTCTTCCCCTTCTCCTGCTCTTCCTCCTCTTTCTCCTACTCTTCCTCTTCCCTCATCCTCCTCCTCCTCCTTTTCCTCCTCCTCCTCCTCTTTCTCCTCCTCCTCGAGCGATCACCAGGTCGTTGATTGCCACGGGTTGCTCTTCAGTGGTGGCCCGAGGTTGTCCAGGGGGGGCAGAATTGTCCGCCACAGGCCCCGGCGCCGCAGAGTCGAAATTGCGTGCGCATCTCAGGGCTCCCAGGAAGGCTCGCCCGGACCCCCGGGGCTGCCTGGTTGAAGGCGACTGGAACGTCTGAGTTGGTCGGTGATGGGCCTCCTCCGCTTCTCCACCATAAGTTGGAGGGGGAGAGGGTCCTCCCTCGCCTCCTCCTCCTCTTCGTCCTCCTCCTCCTCCTTCTCTTCTCTTCCTCTTCCTCCTCATCCAACTTCTGGTGGTGGTGGTGGAAAACATGCCCATCAGGTCGGGACCCGAGAGCATGCGCCAGGAGGGGGGATGAACCCCAAATCTGGTCAAAGTCGGTCCTGGAGCACTCCCGTCCTCCACTTGGTGCAGCTTTCCGCCCCGCGTTCGTTTCTGACGGTCCCGGGGCACGGGAACGGCGATGCGGAGGCCGAGAACGGCCGGAAACCATCCCGAGCCGAAGACCTCGAACTTGCCCGCCATTCTTGCTAGCCAGAACCAGTGTTGGGCTATCTCAGAGCCCGAGACGGTTGCAACCGCCTGGCGTGTCCGGCCTGGCCATTCTGACAGTCTCGGCCGAGGCGGGGGAGCAGGAGGAGGACAAGTGTAAGCCCAAGAGTCATCACCGATGTTGGAATTAACCCTCCCTCCAAGCTCCCTCCTCATAGGCTCCAACAACGGTTTATCCGCATTGAGGGAACAACCGTTTGAAGATCTTGAAGCATGCAAAAACATTGTTCATGGGATCTCAACGCCACGTATCAACCTGACTGCTGCGTCTTGACGATCCGGAATTGTGCCAGAATGCCATTTTTGGGGCATCAACACCGCGAATCAACATATTTATTGCACCCGCGTTATCCTTCCATAGCGCCATTCCTGGTACGTTGATAATGGGGATCCGTGAAACTCGCGCAGTTGTTTTAACGAATGCGCGCGGCGCCTCGGCGAGAGCCACATTTTGAACATGAGCCGCCCTCAATCCGTGAAGCTCTTGCAAACTTTGAAAACGAATGTTCGCGGCGCCAAGGCGAGAGCCATATTTTGAAAACGACCCGCCCTCAATCCGTAAAACTCTTGCCAATGTTGAAAAAGCAAATGTGCGCGGCGCTAAGGCGAGAGCCACATTTTGAGAACGACCCGCCCTCAATCCGTGAAGCTCTTGCAAATTCTTAAAACGAATTTGCGCGGCGCTACAGCGAGAGCCGCGTTTTGAAAACGACCCGCCCTCTATCTGAGAGTCAGACATCGTGAGGAAGTCTCAGAGGAAACGCCCAGCCCGCCCTAAAATCTGGCCTCGGGGTGGAGAAGGAATGGAGGAGGAGAGCTGGGTGAGGGGGGAGAGGGGGGCTGGATGGAGGAGGAGGAGGAGGAGGAGGAGGAGGAGGATGAGGAGGAGGAGGAGGAGGAGGAGAGGAGGAGAGGGAGGAGAGGAGGAGGAGGAGGGGAGGAGGAGAGGAGGAGAGAGGGGGGAGGAGGAGAGGGGGGTGCATGGGGAGGAAAGAGGGGGGGGGGGGGGGGGGGGGGCGGGACCGCGCGCGCGTGCGCGCGGGCAGGCGCCGAGGGCGGCAGCGCGGGCTCCAGATCCGGCGCGCCCAGGGAAGCGGCCTCTGCCACGGCGCGCCCCCGCTGCGGGGGAGGGGTGCTGTGGGGGGAGCGTATCTCGAATGATGGGCCCATTTTCCACCACCGCTACCAGAAGCAGGAGAGATGATGAAGATGAGGCTGAGGCTGAGGCTGAGGATGCGGATGAGGATGAGGATGAGGATGAGGATGAGGATGATGATGATGATGATGATGATGATGATGATGA